AACAACAACAACAACAACATGCTCTGGTAGCTGCGAACCTCAGGGACAACAGTTCGAAACTACCAGCTGTTCTGTGGGAGAAAGATGAGGCTTCCTGCTCCCGTAAAGATTTACAGCCTTGGAAACCCTATACAGGGTCGCTATGGGTCAGAACCGACTCGACGGCACATAACAACAACAACAACATCTATACAATATTTGTAATGCAAGTATAACACATGCATTGTATGGTTTTTTCACACCATGCAGCCCCTTGCCCACTAGTTTCCTATGTGTTCTATGTGCATTATATATTCATGTATGTATTATTTACGTGGGCATATTTTATGTAGAAAATATGGTAATATTCTCAGAAGACACAGTAAATGTAGAGCTGATCTCACAAAGAAGCTCTGTAATGCTGACATGGAGCTATGGAAAGTATCCTTGAAGCCTGAAATGCTTAAAAGCAAAATCTTTAAAGTTCTAATCTAAGGTGAACCCTGCACTGAGCAATCTGTAAGGGATCAAGTCAGTCATTCTCCTTTACTGTGAAAAACTCTTGATATGCTGATGGCAATTTATATTTCACTGAATGCCTGATTAAAGTTCAGGTGAATGTCTGAAGTTATTTTTAGAAAAGGTTTTATGTCTCTCGTTAATTAATACAACCAAATCAGTTCTACGGAAAAGGTGAAAACAAATGAAGCATTTATTGATAATGATAGCACACCAATTTTTAGGTGGGAGCCCTGGCCCAGGATGTTTCCCAGCTCACTCTTCTTAAAGCACTGTGGCAATTAAAAAAGAAAAGAAAACACAAGTAAATGTAGTGTTGTAAAAACCATGTGGGAGCCATGTCTGACTTCCTCTAACTTCACAAGGGGAAAAGAGAATTAAACTCAAAATCAGCTCAAGGCCAATTCCTACAAAGCAGAGGTCAGACATGAAACCTTCTTCATCTTATTCTGACATTAACCATCCTTCCCATAGCACTCTCTGCTTCACATCTGGGTTCCACATTCTATAGCTAGGGCTACACAGAATTTTAACAATACTCACGACTATGGAGTTTATTATGAAAGTGAACAGGGTGCATTCAGGATAAAATACAACAACTCAGGATGAAGCAGTTCTCTAATCAAGATTGTCGCTTCTCTGCCATACCAATTCTCAGTAGTAGCTCCTTGACTGCTGCCCAGCTTGGGCAAATATTACAAAGCTCTTCTAGCTAGTCTGTGAATGGCCAAAGGGCACGTTCTCCAAGCCAGTCTCCTACCCTTAGACACTCAGCTTTACTCAGTCCATGGACCTAGCACCCGCAGCTCCTTTGTCTCCATGACAACATCTCTGCTGCTGCCTCTGCTGTCACAGCTTTCCCAGGTAGGGATCTCAGGCTCCACTCATGTTCTTCCTTCTTGATGGTCCTGGGATCATCTATTCCTGCTTCTGAGATGACTCCTTATAAGCTTAGCTGGATGGCAAAACTAACCAATCCCAGCCTTGGAGTCCTGTACACCCTATTTGCATGGTACCACTCAGTCACTGGAGTCTTGTTGTGGCATTTCGGGTTAATATGCTGGACTTCAAGGTCAGTTTGAACTGCAAGGTTGGTGGTTCAAGCTCACCAGCAGCTCCTAGGAAACCCTACACAGGGTGGTTATGAATTGGAAACGACTCTACAGCACTTAACAACAATAACTCAATTACTTAGCAAGAATTAAGAAGACATTGGTTAAAAAAAACCATACCAAGGTACCAATCACTGTTTTATAAAATGAGCTCCTGAATTCTAAATTTCTATGGTGAAATTTAAAAGTATAAACAACATTCATCTCAGATACCTCATATGACGTAGTCTTATTTTGAAAAAATGTACTCATTTTTACCCCTTATAATCCAGTTAGGAGCCCTGATGGTGTTATGTGCTTGTCTGCAAAACCAAAGGGCAGGTAGTTTGAACCCAACAGGCACTTCTTGGGGAACAGATGTGGCAGCCAACTTCCACAAAAATCTCAGAGTTGGCATTGACTCAACAGCAGCAAGGTTTTGGTATCATTCAATTCCACAGAAAAAAAAGGCAATTCCAAGAACTACAAAAATGAGAGTTACTTATCCTTGTCTAGATGCTAACAAAGGGGATCTTTTTTTTGCTTTTTTCTGTTCCAGAAGTTTTTCTGTAGCACCAGAATTTTGACACATATTAAAGTTTTGTTTGCTAAAGATGCAGTGTTTTAAAGAGGGCCCTCTAGAAAACACCCACAGTCAGAACTCTCCCAGAGATTGGTAGTGATTTGATGAGCTAAACTTTAAGCTTTAATTTATGGGACTACAAGCTGTGATTGATACCTATAACCCCCACTCTATAAAACAAACAAACAAATCAACACAAAACCATGCATGAAGAGACTGACCATAGCTCTTCCTCATAAACATATTGTATATTCCTAGTCTAGTCAATTAAATGTTCATTAAAAATCTAACAAGGAAAACCAATTCTCACAAAACACTCATGGCTGGAGGAATCCAAAATGAGGAAAATCCAGTCCAATGTGAAATGTTGAAATTTAAAGGGAATGATGAATCCATTCTTCTTAACTTTTTAACACTTGTTGTTGTTAAGCGCTGTCAAGTTGGTTCTGACACATAATGACCCTGTATAGGGTTTCCAAGGAGCAGCTGGTAAGCTTGAATTGCCAACCCTGGGTTCAAACTGATCTTGCAGTCTAGTGCATTAACCCACAGCACCATACCGAGACTCCTTTTAACACTTAACACTTGCTAAGTGTCAGATACTGTGCTAAACATTTTACATGTATTATTTTATTCTCAGAAATGTGATTAGAACCCAAATTGCCTGAACCAAAAGGTATTGTCCCTTGAAACCTTTACCCTAGGATAAAATAAGACCTTTTCAGTCAGCTCTATTCATTTAGACATTTACAAAGAACTTCTTGTGTGCCAAGATCCATGCTAGTCATCATATGGAATATGAAGCTGAGGTAAGGCACAGTCTATGACCTCCATCGTTAATAGTCCATAAAAAGGGTTGTTGTTAGGTGCCATCGAGTCAGTACCAACCCATAGCAACCTTATGCACAGCAGAACGAAACACTGCCCGATCCTGGGCCAACCTCACTGCTGTTGCCACGTTTGAGTCCATCAATGCTGCTACTTGGCCAATCCATCTCATTGAGGGTCTTCCTCTTTTTCTCTGACCCTCCACCTTACCAAACATGATGTCCTTCTCCAGGGACTGTTCCCTCCTGACAATATAACCAAATTATGAGAGATGAAGTTTGGTCATCTTGGCCTCTAAGAAGCCCTCTGGCTGCACTTCTTCCAAAACGGGTCTATTGGTTCTTTTGGCAGCCCATGGACTTTCGATAGTCTTCTTCAACACGATAACTCAAAAGCATCAATTCTTCTACAGTTTTCTTTATTCACTGTCCAGTTTTTGCATGCATATGAGGTTATAGAAAATACCACGGCTTGGGTCAGGCGCACCTTAGTCCTCAAGCTGACATCTTTGCTCTTCAACACTTTCAAAAGGTCTTGTGCAGCCGATTTGCCTAATGCAATACATAGTTTGATTTCTTGACTGCAGGGTCACCCACGGTGGACAGGTTTCAGATGAGCTTCCAGACGAAAGACAAAATAGGAAGAAAGAGTGACAAACTACTTCTGAATATTTATTCACTGAAAAGCTTAACTGCATATAATCAATTAATTTTCCATACATGCTATATGTATATATGTCCACTTTCAAATCATTTTAAAATTGGCAAATACATTTAACAGCAAAATTATAATAAAAATATAATCCTTTGTTGATGTTTATTTAGAAAATAAAATGTTTCTGAACTTGTAGTTGCACAAAATCTTATTCTTATTGCTCATAGTATCAGAGCATTCATGAAGACAAAGTATTGATGAGTAGATTACTTAGATCATTAAATGCTTAACAGAATAGTTAACAGAATAGATCATAACTGTACAAAATGTGGCGTTTGAAATAAAAGGTTGATGAGACTCTTCAAAGAACAGTGTGGCATCTTTTTAGGACTTTTAAAAGATAGATGGGTGTTCATCCAATTCAATTAAAATATTTTATTGTGATCCAGCTTTCCTGAATCTATTCATACAAAATTAATTTTATTAACCAAGAATTCTATTAAACAGCACTTCCACACTTCACTGGCACAACAATAATTGATATTCATAATAATGGCCCCATGTCATCACAAGATTCTAAAACATCTCCTGAATGAAAAAAAAGATTGAATTATTTTCATTATAATTTTATAATTTAATTATAGGCCTGTTTTATTTTAGAGACTATTCCTTATATGAACTACTTAAAATTAAAACTTTTGTCATTATTTTATGTTGGCACATAAAAAGATTAATCAGGTTGCCCAATATTGCACACTCACACAGCAATCTAATTTCTCCTGACAATGAAGCTGGGGCCCTCCCACTACGTTTGGTTTCTGACTGGAGCCGCATCAGATTCTCAGCTCACTGGCAACTGAACAAATGACAACTCTTCATGCATTCCAGAGAGCTTCTAGCATCTTCCATGTTCGGAGCTTCAGCTCCGTGCCTTTGAACCCTATGCTATGAAGTTGTGGTCTTCAGGCACTCTTCTGTTCTCTTCCAATCTTTGCCTACAAGTGTTGGGAATTATCTTAGGAAAAGTGGCACCATTTAGAGTAATATAGAATTTACTCTAGGAGATTACAGAAGCATGAAGGGGAATTTCTCCAAGTCCTGTCTAGATCCTTTCATGGGAAGTTACTACCTAGAGACTATGATGTATTTTCAACTGAACCGTAAGAACCCAACACTGTGGCTTAGATTGTTACAGCTAACCTGGGAATCCTCAGTGATGAGTGAACACCTCCCTTAAGGTATTGCTGGAGAGAGTAGCCTCCCAATCCTGTACCTCTCTGTCCCAGAGCTGTATGTCTGGTGAGTTCCTAGGCCACTGCTGACCTGTGCCAAACAGAACCCTAAGACATGAGAACAGAAGGGCACCACATTGCAGACTTCTACCCGCCTCCATCACTGGCTCCACACTTCCAAGAGTGAGCAGAGTTTCCCTAATTATAGAAAATATCTGAGAAAAGAATTTATTTATAATTAGAAGTTTTAAACCCAAATTGACTTTAAAAAAAATATTTTTGTGACAAAAGGAATATATTTATGTGACAAACAATTTAAATAAAAAACAGTTGCCATTTAGTCAATTCTGAGTCATGGTAACCCTGTATGTATCAGACTAGAACTGTGCTACACAGGATTTTTAATGGCTGGTTTTCCATTAAGTCAACAGGTCTTTCCTTTTAGGCGCCACCAATCTTTTGGGTAGTGAGCACATCAATCATTTTCACTACCCAGAGACTCTATTAATGTAATACTGAATAATATATGTATATTCTTATGTTCACCAGCCACTCTTTGGAAACCCTATATAGGGTCACTTTGAGTAGGAATGGATTCAACAGAAATTACAACAATTCTTATGTTGTTTATATTAGAGTATTTTTTAAAATCTCCAATAATTTTTTTCACTCTTATTTTTGAAGCAAGTACATGTTTTGCCCATGGTCAAAATAAAAATTCTTGTCTACTTCTGTTACAGTTTCTATTTAAGTTGTTCTGTGTTATCAAGTCATAGTGACCCTATATGACAAAGTAGAGCTGCCTCATAAGGTTTCATAGGCCGAAATATTTATGGGAACAGACTGCCTAGTTTTTTCTTCTATGGATATTGGTGGATTAGAACTGCCCTTTTGGTTAACAACTGAGCACTTAATCATTGTGCCATCAGGCTCCTGCTCTGTATAGCAGAGGGTAGGAATTCAAATTTTGATTTACTTCATGTACATTAACTGTCAAAAAGTGCCCTGAAGCAAGTATAATGATAGCATATACTCATAGAAACATACCTCCTCAAAGCTTTGAGCTTTGTGGAAACGATACAATCAGAAGGAAGCTGGTCCGTCTCAGTGAAGACTTCTTGTTGGGTAGACATGGGTAACATTTTTATATCAGAACATAGGTATCTGGAGATCAGTTTAGCACATTTATTAGGTTAGATCTATTAATGGTAAAAGTGCAGGACTTTTATAAAAATGATAGGGTAGAATAGGCAAAGAAAAGCTCAATTTGATGATTCCAGATTCCTGTTAGGAAATTTTTTATGATTCCTTCTGGATTTTTTCTGTTTGTTTGTTTCTAGGAGAAAATAAACTGGTCGGGGACCTTCTGGTTTTAGGAGGAGCCACACTTTATGGTATCTCTAACGTCTGGGAAGAATACATCATCCGCACTCTGAGTCGAGTGGAGTTCCTGGGAATGATTGGGCTTTTTGGTGCATTTTTCAGTGGAATTCAATTGTAAGTAAAATCACAAGAAATTCAGACAATGGAGACTGTTAGGATCCTCTCCTCTCCCAACCTTGCAGTATGGTTGGCCACATTATTATGTAAAAATCAAGGCTGGAGTCCTGTTATCAACTTCTCATATAAGAATCTTATGAAATCTGAACACTCAGTATCTTTATTAGTAATTTTTTCAAATTGAACAAGTTTATTATAAATTATCATAAAACATTTTGTTAACTTTTTATGATTATTTGCAAGAAAACATTAGAAGTACACTGATTCTTCCAAAGCAGTGAGCTATTAGCTTAGATAACTAGTAAAACGAAGCATAAATGCCACCTTTGATGCTCTTTCAAAAAGGGATACTTTGTTTAGTAATGACAGCTGCTGCTAGTGACCTTGTAGCTTTAAATAAATGTTCATGTATTGCCTGTTGACTTGCAATTGTGGAACATATTTCAAATCCATCCCTTAGAAATTTAGTGTTTCTATTTCCTTTAAACAGTTTAAGATAAAACAGACATTCACTAAGCATCAAAAAATAAAAAGCACCAATTTTTCAGTATTTCTGGTTAAAGCATAAAAGTCATCTCTGATTGTTGTTGATAGGCGCCATCGAGTTTGTTCCAACTCATAGCGACCTTATGAACAGCAGAATGAAACAATGTCTTGTCGTATAGCATCCTTACAATTGCCGTTAGGTTTTAACCCATTGTTGTTGCCGCTGTGTCAAACTATCTTGTTGGGAGTTTTTCTCTGACTGTCTACTTTACTAAGCATGATGTCCTCCTCCAGGAACTGATCCCTCCTGATAGCATGTCCACAGAACGAGAAGCAAAGTCTTTCCATCTTTGTTTCTAAGGAGATTCTGACTATCCTTTCAAGATGAATTTGTTTATTCTTCTGGTTGTTGTTGTTAAGTGCCCTCGAGTTGGTTGCGACCCCGTATAGTGTTTCCAAGGAGCAGCTGGTGAGTTTGAACCACCAACCTTGCAGTTCAAAAGATTTTGCAGTCTTACGCATTAGCTCACCAGCCCCACACCAGGACTTCTGGTAGATCATGCTATTTTCAATATTCTTCCCCAACATCATGATTCAAATACATCGATTCTTCTATGTTCTTCCTTATTTACTGTCCAACATTCACTTGCATTTCAGGCGATTGAAAATATCAAGTCTTGGGTTAGGCCCACCATAGTCCTTGAACTGACAAGTTTGCTCTTTAACACTTTCCTACCACACATCTTTCCTGAATTTAAACCTTAATGTTCAAACTGACTGACATCTCTGCTCTTGAACACTTTAAAGAGGTGGTTTGCAGCAGATTTGCCTATTGCAATACAACATTTGATTTCTTGACTGCTCCTTTCATGAATGTTGATTGTGGATCAAAGCAAAATGAAGTCTTTTACAACTTCAGTCTTTTCTACATTTATCATGATATTATTTATTGGTCCAGTTGTGAGGATTTTTGTTTTCTTTACATTGAGGTGCAATCTATACTGAAGGCTGTATAGTCTTTGATCTTCACAAGTAAGTATTTCAAGTCTCTTCACTTCCAGCAAGCAAGGATGTATCACCTGCAAATCACTAATTGTTAATGAGTCTTCTTCCAATCCTAATGCTATGTTTTAGGATTATTTGCTCAACATATGGATTGAATAAGTGTGGTGAAAGGATACAACCTTTTCCTGATTTTCTGATTCACTATCCCTTTGTTCTGGTAGCGTAGTGGTTACGAATCGGGCTGTGAACCTCAAGGTCAGTAGTTCAAAACTACCAGCCGTTCCGTGGGAGAAAGATGAGGCGTTCTGCTCCCATAAAGATTTACAGCCTCGGAAACCCTGCACAGGGTCGCTATGAGTCGGAACTGACTCCACGGCACATAACAACAACAACAACATCCCTTTGTTCTGTTTAAATGACAAGTCCTCATGAGCATAATTAAGTGTTCTGGTATACATATTTTCCCATGGTTATCCATACTCTGTCATGATCTACACAATCTAATGCCTTCGCATATCCAATAAAGCACAAGTAAATATCTTTCTGGTATTCTCGGCATTTAGCCAAGATCCATCTGACATCAGCTATGCTATCGCTTGTTCTATGTCCCCTTCTGAATCCAACTTGAATTTCTAGCAGCTCCCTATGGATGTACTGCTGCAACCATTTTTTAGTGATCTTCAGCAAAAATTGTATTTACATGTGATATTAATGATATTTTTTGATGATTTCTGCATTCCATTGCATGACATTTCTTTGGAATAGGCACAAATATGGATCTCCTCCACTTGGTTGGCCAGGACGTCCATATTTCTTGACATGGATGAATGACTGCGTCCAGTACTGCATCATTTTATTGAAACATTTCAATTGGTATTCAGTCAATTCTTGGAACCTTCAGTGCAGCGTGAACTTCTTCCTTCAGTATTATGGACTTCTTGAAGTGGATGAACATTGACCAACCAATCCTTTTGATAATCTGTGTATTCCTTCCATCGTCCTTTGCTGATTTGTGCATCATTCTGAAAAATGTTGAGCATGTTCTACCCTTTTGGGTTTTTTTTAACTCCAGGCCTTTGAACATTTCATTGTATTATTTGACTTTGGCTTCTCGAGCTACCCTTTGGAATTTTCTGTTCAACTCTTTCATGTCTTCATTCTTCCATTCACTTTAACTTCTCTACATTCAAGAACAAGTTTCAGAGTCTCTTCTAACTTCCATTTCGGTCATTTCATTCCCTCCTATCTTTTCAATGACCTACTTTCTCATGTATGATGTTCTTGATATCATCCATAATTCTTCTGGTCTTCAGTAATTAGTGAATGTAATTAATACATCAAATCTGTTCTTGATATGGTCTCTAAATTCAGGTGAGATATATTCAAGGTCATATTTTGACTTCTGAACTTGTTTTAAATTTTTTCAGCTTCAGCCTGAACTTGCATATTGTGGAACAGCTATTGATGGTCTGTTCCACAGTATGCCCCTGACCTTGTTTTGACTCATGATATTGAGCTTTTTCATTTTGATTCCTGTGTATTCCATGTGGTGAGGTCCATATGTATAGTTGCCTTTCATCGTATTGAAATAAAGGTATTTGAAATGAAGTCATTGACCTTGCAAAATTCAGCATGCAATCCCCAGCATCATTTCTATCACCAAGGCCATATTTTCCAACTATTGATCCTTCATCTTTGTTTCCAACTCTCTCATTCCAATCACTAGCAATTATCCTTGTATCTTGGGTACATGTTTGATCATTTTCAGACTGAATAAGTTGAGAGAATTGTTCAATTTCATCCCCACTGGCTTTAATGGTTGTTTTGTAAATTTGAACAATAGTGGTATTAACTGGTCTGTCTTGTAAACATATAGACATTATCCTATCACAGATAGCATTACACTTCAAAATAGATTTTGAGTTGTTTTTTGTTTGTTTGCTTTTAAAGTACCTCCGTATTTGTTGTAAGAATGATTTTCTGTAAGTAAAGACCAGATTTTTTGGTTTCAGATAAGAGGTAAAATCTACAGTTGACTTTACCAAATCTCTTTCTACAAAGCATATACATTGCAATTGTTTTGATTCAGTTTCTTAAAATATTTATTATTGAAGGTATTTTGACATCACCTTCAGCATGTTTAACAAATATAAACCTTCCAAGAAACCTCTACCCTGAGATGTCAGTGAAAAACTCCATAGCAAACAAAGCAGGAAGACGGGAAGACGTTTCTGGGAAGGATTTATTTTTGGTTCATTTTAAAGCTCCTCAATTTGATGCTCCAGCTTTGTGAGAGGAAAGTGAATTGCCAAGTTCAACTACTTATAACCAACATTTTGTAGATGGATGGCTCATTGTTGGGTTAATTTCTTGAATTAAAAAAATAAACCCAGAGATCTTGCCCCCATTGACTTCAATTATAGTTCATTAAAGATTACTGAGCCTTTATGGAGATACACCACTGCTGCCTAAATAATGGAATTGGTATATGGGGGTGTATGGCAATTGGAAGGTGTGACAGCACACCGGCACCTAAGTAATGGTTGTGTAGTAGGGCCAGCATTACATATGAGCCCTCTTCTATAGCAGTGGTTCTCAAAGTAGGGTTGTCATACTAACAACAGTGGCACCATATGTGAGCCTGTCAGAACTGCAAACCCATGAGTCACCGCAGATCTCCACCACTCATCTTTCAGTCTGTTGTACTGTGGTGACTTGCATGTTGCTGTGATTCTAAAAGCTGTGCCATGGGTGTTTTAAATATCAGCAGGGTCATCCACAGTGGACAGGTTTCAGCTGAGCTTCCAGACAAACAAAAGACTAGGAAGAAGGAGACACAGACTACTTTCAAATATTCAGTCACTGAAAACCTTATGAATAGCACTGGAACACTGTCAATACCAGAAAAGTGAATATTGAAATATGATGAAGAACACCAGAATGTTGTCAGATATAGTGCAGGAAGATGAGACCCTCAGGTGGAAGGCACTGAAAATACAAGTATGGAAGAACTGCCTTCTCAAAGTAGAGTTTCCTTGATGATGCAAATGGATAAAGCCTTTGAGATCTTCATTTGCTGTTGGGGCACAACTCAAAATAAAGAGAAACAGCTGTAAACATCCATTAATAATCAGAACATGTAGTGTATAAAGTATGAATCTAGGAAACATGGAATTTCTAAAAAATTAAATGGAATGCATAAACATCAATATCCTAGGCATTAGTGAGCTGAGATGGACTGATACTGGCCATTTTGAATCTGAAAATCACATGGTTTCCTATGCTGGGAATGACAGACTGAAGAGGGATATCGTCTCATTCATCATCAAAAATAACATATCAAGATCTGTCTTGAAGTACAACACTTTCTGTGATAGGATAATAATCCATATGCCAACAGTTAAAACCAGATAATACCGCTATTATTCAAATTTATGCACCAACCACTAAAGCCAGTAATGATGAAACTGAAGAATTCTACCAACCTCTTCAGCCTGAAATTGTTCAAACATATAGTCAAGATGTATTGATAATTACTGGCAATTGGAATGCAAAGGTTGTAAACAAAGAAGAAGGATCAGTAGTTGGAATATATGGCTTTGGTGTTAGAAACGATGCTGGAGATCGCATGATATAATTTTGCAAGACCAATGACTTCTTCATTGCAAATACCTTTTTAAACAATATAAAAGATGAATACACAGCAATCACATTGACTATATCTGTGGAAAGAGATGGTGGAAAAGCTTTATCTCATCAGCCAAAACAAAGCCAAACGAACAAACCAATCCGTGTTAGCAGCACAGCCAGAATGCTCCTTGGAAGCCAGGATGGCTAAGCTTCATCTCTTATACTTCGGGCATATTTTGAGGAAGAACCAATCTCTGGAGGATAGCATGTTTGGCAAACTGGAGGGTTGGAGTAAAAGAGGAAGACCCCAGGGAGATTGACTGACACAGTGGCAGCAGCAATGGGCTCTAATGTAGCAAAAAATTGCTAGGATGATGCAGGACGAGGCAGTGTTTTGTTCTGTTGTGCACAGGATCACTATGAATTGCCATTGTCTTGATGGTACCTAACAACAACAACCGCAGATCTACTAAGTCAGAATCTCTAGGGGTGGGTCCCAGGAAACTGTTTTCATAAGCTCTCTAGTGACTTATATGTACATTAAAGTTTGAGAGCCACTGCTCTTGAGAATGCTCAAATAAAAACTTAATTAAACCTCCAAGTTAGGAATTTGTGATGCTATTTTTTTTAGGAATCATCTAAGCAAGAGACAGTAATGGATATAAGCAGACTACTTGAGAAGGACAGTGGAAGATTTGAGCTTCACCGTGCCCCACTTGCACACTCTCACCACAGCTGGCTACACATAATAAGATACTTCTGGGATAAGCTCAGCCTACCTAATTAGACTTGCCCATGCATGGCTCAAAGTTATGTTTTAAAATGTAATCAGTTGGTTCAGTATTTGTATAAATGTGTTAAGTGAGGAGAAGAAAAAAAAAAGAATGAGTCAGGAGCATTATAATCTTTTTCATCAGATGTACTTTCTTTTAATTTGCAGAGCTATCATGGAGCACAAGGAGCTGTTAAAGGTGCCCTGGGATTGGCAAATAGGTAAGAGGGTTTACTCACCTAGGATACTGTCTTTAATCAATCTAAGAAATACATTGGAAGAGTTATAATGGAAGGGCTTGGGGCATGAACAAAGAAAGGAATTACAAGGCAGAGGACAAAAGAAAATGAAATCGCCTTGTCATTTTAGGAATTCTTGCACACTGTAGAGACTGAACAGTATAGTTCATAATGCTTCCTAATTGAGTCTCTGCCCATTATCACCATCAAGATGCCATTAGGGTAGACACAGAAGTGAATTATTAGGTTAAAGACCAATCTGAAATTAAAAATAAATGCCCTAAGGCAGTGGTGTGTCCAAAAAAAGATAGCAATTTGCTCTGGCCAAGAGTCACAAAGCTGATATGATCATTAAAAAGGGGCACTTTAGCAGAGGTAAAAAACAGAAGAAAAGCCACAAAAAGGAAAGAATATAATGGACATTCTGAGCCTATAATAACCTTTCAGAGAGGAACCATTTGCGCATAAGAAATGGTTAGTTGGTCTCTGAGCAGACATAGTACAAAATACCAGACGTGCTTTGAGCTGGTTAATAGTCAACAAGGACACCTTGGATTCCACCTGTCTCTAAAATTACTTTCCACTAGAAAAAAAGAAAGGAAGGACAAGGATTTAAGATCCAAGGTGATGCTCTTATTATCACAAACAAGGAAAATTCCGTTCCCTTGATGGGATTACATCTACAGGCTAAAATTTACAACACATATTTTGGGGGACACAGTTCAAACCATAAGAGTTTCCCACATTGGTGCCATCTACAGCTCTGTGAGCTTTAATTAACTGACAGCTTCAATCAAATTCTGCTTTCCTGAAGAAGGACAAATATGATCTAAACTCCCCCACACCACTATTCCTACCCCTGACCACCAAGCATCCAAGGCTGATTTGCTGCCAACATAATTCTCTCTGAAGACACACTCTGAGCTACAGAATTATGCTTGACTCTCCCTGTAGTTATCTCTAGTGACTTCAAGGACTGACCAGCCTTGTGTCTGTCACAGAGTCCTTCCATTTAATTTCTCTCAAGTTTTTCTGTAGAATGTTATAATTAAGTGAAAATCAATAGAGAGAAGGGGGTGGGGAAAGGAAAGGAGGGTAGCTGGGAAGGGAAGCCAGCCGTAGGTCACAGATGCATTTGCCTTTGTGATTCTCAGAGCCAGGAAACAAAATGCTACCCGTGCTTGATAACACTTCACATCAAGTTGTCTGTGAGTGTAAATTAATTTGAAATGATGGTTAATAGCCACGATCAGAAAAACTTGTCCTGTAATTATGCGGATGTCGTGTGCATTTCCACCAGGATTCTATTATAATTCAGTACTTGTTAAATAGATTATCAATAGATAGTTGTATTCCAAACTCTCATATTGCCATTAAAATGTCAATCTACTGTCATCAGAGATGATGAAGGGCAGTGTAAAAGGAGCACATTATAGAACCATCCATTAAATTCCTGATTGAAAATGAGGCAGAAATGACCTAGAAGGGAAATCAAATATTCCTCCTTCCCTTTTTTTTTTTAAATAACATTTGAGATATTTTTATACCAGGGCTGCATCCTTTGTCCTCAGTGCCTGATCTTGACCTACTATAAGGTTCGAATGCCTATCTCAGTAAATGAATTGTTGCTGTTGCTGTTGTTAAGTGCTGCCTAGTGCGGTCCGACCCATAGCGAC